CAGTCCCATCTCCTTTGCTGGGTATTACCCACCCAAAGCTCATGTTCTGTCTTAGCTCATGTTCCCAGCATGGCTGTAAAATCCCTTTCACAGGATGAGACACCCCATGTCCCTGTAGGTTGACCCAATAATTCATTGCCAGCTGCTGTCTCCTAATCTGCAATGGCATATCCCCCATCTCCACCTGTAGTGCAGCCACTGGGGACGTCCGAAACGCCCCACTACATATTCTGAGTCCTTGCCCCTGTATGACATCTAGCCTTTCCAATGATGTCTGGGCTGCCGAACCATACACTATACTGCCATAGTCTATTACAGTTCGGATCAATGCAACATACATGGTCCTCAATGAGGAACGCCCAGCCCCCCACTCCTTCCCCGTCAGACAGCGCATCACATTTAGCCCCTTCTTACACTTTCCCACCATTCTCTCAATGTGTTCTGCCCAGGTCAGTCTAGTGTCAAAGTATACCCCAAGGAATTGTGGACTACAGGAGAAAAAAAAAGAGGACTGAGCACGCCCCCATTCTCATCGACGGGGCTGTAGTGGAACAGGTTGAGAGCTTCAAGTTCCTTGGTGTCCATATCACCAACGAACTATCATGGTCCAAACACACCAAGACAGTCATGAAGAGGGCAAGACAAAGCCTATTCCCCCTCAGGAGACTGAAAAGATTTGGCATGGGTCCTCAGATTCTCAAAAAATTATACAGCTGCACCATCGAGAGCATCCTGACTGGTTGCATCACTGCCTGGTATGGCAACTGCTCGGCCTCCGACCGCAAGGCACTAGAGAGGGTAGTGCGTACGGCCCAGTACGTGTCAGAGGAAGGCCCTCAAAATTGTCAAAGACTCCAGCCACCCTAGTCATATACTGTTCTCTCTGCTACCGCACGGCAAGCGGTACCGGAGCGCCAAGTCTAGGTCCAAAAGGCTTCTCAACAGCTTCTACCCCCAAGCCATAAGACTCCTGAACTGCTAATCATGGCTACCCAGACTATTTGCACTGCCCCCCCACCCCATCTTTTTACGCTGCTGCTGCTCTGTTAATTATTTATGCATATTCACTTTAACTCTACCCACATGTACATATTACCTCAACTACCTCAACTAGCCGGTGCCCCCGCACATTGACTCTGCACCGGTACCCCTATATATAGCCTCCCTACTGTTATTTTATTTTACTTCTGCTCTTTTTTTCTCAACACTTTTTTGTTGTTGTTGTTTTATTTTACTTTTTTATTAAAAAATAAAAGCATTGTTGGTTAAGGGCTGTAAGTAAGCATTTCACAGTAATGTCTACACCTGTTGTATTCGGCGCAATTTGATTTGATTTTAACCTGAAGGCCCCCACCCTCTCCAAGTTTCTCCCATAGAACCTCAAGCATACCTCATCTCCCACCTTCCTCCTGGTAAAGAACACTGTCTGAGTTCTCTCTACAGAGAACCTGAATCCCCACATTAATGCCCACCGCTCTACCTCAACAATTGCTTCCTGTACCTTCCTGACTATGTATGGCACATTTCTTCCCCTCTCCATAAGGCCCCATCATCTGCAAATACGACCTCCCAATATCCGGCTGTACCTGAGAGTAAACATAATTGATAATGATTGAGAACAACAGAGGACTAATCACGCTCCCCTGTGGTGTACTGTTATCCACCAAGTAGCTGCCTGATAGAGACTTCCCCACCCTCACCTGGATAGACCTTCCAAACAGGAAATCCTTTATCCAGTTGTACGTTCTTCCTCCTACCCCCATAATATCAAGCTTGATTAACAACCCCTCCTTCCACATCACATCACATGCCTTCTCCACATCAAAAAAGACAGCTACAACAGGCTCCTTGTTCACCTTCCTGACCTCTACTTCTAAGCAGAGCACTGGGTCCATAGTTCCCCTACCCTTCATGAACCCACTCTTGATGTGGCAATACTAGCCCCCTGCTCTCCAGGAAGTAAGTTAGCCTCTCTGTAATCATACGTTCCATAATCTTACATACATGTGATGTTAAAGCTATTGGCCGATAGCTTGTTGGCCTCGTTGGGTCCTTCCCTGGCTTCCGGATTGGTACCACTACTGCCTCCTTCCAACTGCCTGGTAGTTTCCCCTCCTCCCACACTCTGTTGTACAACACCAATACCTTATCCAATGCCTCATCACTAAGATGGGCCAACATAACATAGCACACCTCATCTTTCCCAGGTGAAGTTAACCCATCCTTACCTATTGCCCTTTTCACCTCTGCCCTGGTCAATGGTGCATTCAACGCATCATTTACATCCTCCCTCCTATCCAGCAGTCCAGGATGCTCCTCTCTTATTCTCTCTCTCCCCCACTGCCCCTCCTCTGACAAATTTGCCGAGCTATGCGCTTGGACAAACGCTATGGCCATCATCTCTGCCTTCTCCTCATCTGTTACTGCCACATCCTCAACACTGGATAATCCCACTCCCTTCTGACCCCACTCATCCTCTTAATCATCCCCCACACTTCTCCCACAGGTGTTGCCCTTCCAATGGTGTCACAGAACCGTCGCCAACATGGCCTCTTTGCCTGACGGATAGTTCTCCTCACCATGGCCTGGGCCTGCTTATACTGAATCAGATGTTGGAAGTTATACGTCCTTTTCAGTACTCTAAATGCCCTGTTTCTACTCCTCACCATTGCCCCACACTCCTCCGTCCACCATGGGACTGCTTTCCTCCTCCTCCCTGAACTCTTAGGTATAGCCTCAGTAGCTGCCCCCACTAACGCCGTTCTCACCCAGTTATTCATACTATCCACATCCCCTCTCATATCCACCCGAGCCATCACCTGCTCACTCAGCTCCTGAAACTGATCCCACTTTGCCCTTCCAAACACCCACCTGCCCCCCCCCCATCTCTCCCTTGAACCTGTATCTCCCTGGACCTGGACCACCCTCACTGCCTCAGCATATGACACCCTTCTCTCCACTCTCACTTGTTGCACCTCCACTGCCTGCTTCATAGCCTCACACCCACTATTTGCAACACTATGAGCACCCCCACAGCTGCAGCACTTTGGTTGTACACCATTCCCACACTTCCCATACTCATGCTCCACTCCACACTTTGCACTCCTCTTTCTCTCTTTACAGGCTGCTGCCACATGCCCAAACCTCTGGCAGTTATAACATCTTAAAGGCTTTGGGACATAAGCCCTCACATAACTTTATTTGGCAGTACCCGGTCCTTGAAGTGCAACAGTATAGACGGGCTATCTACCCTAACTCCACCCCTTGTTGCTTGCAATCTTTGAACATTCAATAGAACGCCTCCTCTCAAATTGTCGCTTATCTCTTTCGTGCGAACACTCACAGGCACTCCTGTTATCACCCCTTTAATCCACTGCTTCATCAATCCAGCTGCTTGACACCACCTTACACTTCCCTATTTGCTTCACTCTGAGAGATGTTTCCCTCTGCGCCATGTCCTTACAGAACACCAACAAGCTCCCATCTCTTAACACTTTAGCATTGACAACTTCCCCAATCAACTATTTTATCACAGCCGTCAACCTTAATCGGACTCATCGCCCCAACTTCCCCTTCCTCCCTAAACTTCAGAATCACTTTATGCTCCTCCTCACCTCCATGTTCCCCTCGCGTCTTATCTTGCCCTTCCTCTGCACTTTCTACCTCTGAACTGCCACTAGCGTTGGAAACTATGTTGCTCTCCTCAAACGTCCTTTTCTGCCTCCATAGACCTCTCGCTCCCCTTCAAACCCCTCCTCTCTTTCTTTCTCTTTCTTACTCCCTCCTTTATTTGTACCACTATGCTCCATACTTGCTTCACTTTCTTCTCCATCACTATCTCCTACCATCTCTGACCCAGTCACAGCACAGCCGTGCCGAACCGCCGCCACACCGAGTAAAGTTTGATTGTTTGTTTATTAAAGATTGATCGCTAGCCACAGCTTTCAGCTTCTCCCTCACTTCTCTCCGAGCTCCAAATCTCTACCACATACACGTCGACTTTTGCATACTTCCGTTTCGTTCTTCTTCCCAGATAACACTTTTTAAAGATGTTCGGCCGTGTTGGTCTTTCACCTGATACTAACATAAACAACTTGGCTTCCTTTAGAAACAGGTGAGAATTGTTTAATACGAAAGCATTCAGTCAGTAGTTGGGCCTTGTCTTATGAAACGCAACCCTCATCGTTTGCAGACCTCTGCTTTCCTTATTCTCTTCCACCTCTTATTCCTTTTCTCCCAACATTGCTTGTGGCCTGCCCTCCACCGTGACCACCGGTGTACAACCTTCCAAAGTTCTTCCATGTCACCCCTCTATTTTCTCAATAGCAGTGACTTTATTGGTAAATATTTTGTTGAGGTAAAATGTACTTGATATGATTGTGATGTGTTGTTGTCTCACCTCTGTCTGTCTCTTAAGATGAATGCACTAATTGTAAGTCGCTCTGGATAAGAGCGTCTGCAAAATGACTAAAATGTCAAATGAGTGGCACTCAGCGTAGTCACAAGTTCTCCTCCTCCTCCTCCTCCTCCTCCTCCTCCTTCTCCTCCTCCTTCTCCTTCTCCTTCTTCTTCTTCTTCTTCTTCTTCTTCTCCTTCTTCTTCTTCTTCTTCTTCTGCTTCTTCTTCTCATTCTGTGGATTTTATATGGCGGTTGGCAACCAACTTTAAGGTGCATTACCGCCACCAACTGGACTGGAGAGTGGACCAGCGACAGTGAAAGTCAAAAGTAGACACTAGTTACCACTGCCACAAAGTCATAAACCCCGCCCATTTCTACAATTTATATTCTTACAATTTGATTTTAAACCTAACCAGAACCTTAACAACACTGATAACCTTATGCCTAACCCTAACCTTAAATGAATACCAAAAAGCTTATTTCTGTTTTCATGAATTTTTACGATATAGCCAAATGTGCCTTTGTGGCTGTGGTAACTAATGGAAACTGGCACTGAGGGCAACAGCGCAGCGCAGAGCAGAGAAGGTTGACTGAGGTATATGGTTCACACTGGGCTAACAGTAGTTAGCAAGACCTCACTGAAAAGTTTGATACAAAATGTACTTTAGCTAGCCAGCCAGCTACCAGAAGAGGGAGACTGTACTGCAAGAATACAATACAGACTATTCGACAGATGAATTGGGAAATCTTAAACAAGTTCAGATAGCTAGCTAATGTAAGTTACCTAACGTTAGCTAGCTGCTAGCAAACAACACGGCACAGCCAGCGAACCGAATCAAGACAAGGGCTTATGGACACGACGTGGTAACTTCACCGGTACACCTCCCTCACCCACACATTCTTTGGAAAAGTAAGCAACACCATTGAGAAAGGTAAGAATGGATTTACCGTTAGCTGCCATGTTAGGCTAGCTAGTTAGCTAGCTATGCTCACCAAGACAAAAACAACAACAGTTCAACTTATTCTCTAGTTTGTCTTGCCTCTGGTCTGTACTCAAAATTATCAGACATTGTTTATTTAGGATGATTGCTTTCACGTAACTATAGTTAAGTCTATAGATTTCTTTCAATGAATGTTTACATATTCAATGTGCTTTTTGAATGCATGTTTTGGGATATGGAATTTCATGTAATTTGGATTCAATCAAATCTACCAGTCATGAATTTAACAAAAGTCTCATGATTAGCCTATATTGCTGACCTACTGGTGGTCAGACCTGCTGACCATGCCATAGTTACTGTATGTTGTGCTATGGCCCACCCTGTCTGTGCCAAGCCCTTTAGAATGACTCACTCAAAGCACAGCAGCAGATATTCTGAGAACCAGCATGACAGGTTATTAGCTAGATGACAAGTCTGAACCAGTAATTTCCTACATTTTTTTTTTCTGTACTAGACTTGTTCTATTGAGTAAAAGCCTAGAATTGGCATTAAAGGAAACATTTGTTTTCTGTTCACAGAGTTGAAGAAAAGGGAATGTTTTGACAAGTGTGGCACTCAGGTTGGGTTTGCCGAAACGTCAGACTGTTACCATGTTTACCCCATGGCTATTCAGTCTGAAAGAAGTTTGCCTGAAAAAGTCTCTACAAGCCAGAATGTTGAATAAAATGATATTTACACTTACTTTACTGGTTGTACATGCTGTTGGTCCTAATGGCGGTAGGAAGTGGATATAGGGTATCCACAGGAAAGTGTTGTTTACTCTGCTTTTTGCGGCTCCAGTAGGTTCTGTTGCTGGTATTTTAAATCTCCTGACACATACATGTGATGCACAATATGTGAACGATAGCCGAATGTTACCAAAAGTAGTGGACCTAAGCACATTTCCTCGCAATCAGCTGTGAAATTTGGCACCTGATTGCATTGGACAACATTTGGTCTGTGGTTCGGTTTGGCCCGGCCATATCGTGCAAGTGTTTGTCATGTGCGAATTGCTTCAGAATTGAAAATAAAAACCGAAAATACAAAAGATATACAGACCATAGGGACAATATCGGGTAAAGTAAGTTAAAATTAAGTTTGTTCAACATTCTGACTTGTAATGGGACTGTTCGGGAATGCTGAGCCTACATGTTAGAGACGAGAGTGTAAGTATTTCACTCTCGGATTCTAAAAGAGGCTAAGGTTGGTTATGAGACGAGTGTTTGATTGCTGCACTAGCAGAGACAGTTGAGCTCACTCTCTCTCTCACTCTCTCACCCTCACCCTCTCTCTAATCCTACAACAAAGAACCCCAATAACTAGGTCATGTTCATTAGGCACCAAAACAGAAGAAAACAGTCTGAAAAAGGGAGGGACTACCAGGACTTGTCCAATAAGAATAGCATTTTTTTTTGTTTCAAATGTTTTCCTACAGTTTGCCCTAATAACTCTACCTGGGTTTCCTTTTGATATGACCTAGTGATCCATTCAGTCATATATAGAGACATAGATAGGTCTTTAAATATTGTTGCATAATTACCCTGTTCCTCACAGCAACAGGAGAGACCATGTCAGCGACATCATGACAGACAGGGAAGAGGCGCTTTAGCACCCTGACCACAAGGCAAGGAGCCATGGATGGGTTACTGCAGCTACCTTCCCCTGAGCACCTTGAACAGGTGAATGGGGAGACTAGGACAGGCCCCCTGCCCCTATGTAGCCCAAACTCTCCACAGCCCCTGGACACAGTAGCTGATGATATATGGACTGCAAGGGAGGTGGAGGCAGTGGCCTCTGACTTTGGAGGGTTGACGGACCTGCAGGAGCTGGGGGTTGAGGAGGGTGAGGGCAGTGGGGCGGAGAGGCCGAGGTCCCCCATCTCGAGGGTATCATGGAATGGGACTGGCAGCCAACAGAATGGAGAGAATGGAGAAGGAGGGGAAGAGGAGAGACTAGAGAAGGACAAGACCAGCTACAGCAGACAAGACAGTCCTGCTGCTGCTAACAACTACACAGGTAAAAGAGAGTAAATGAAATACATTGGTTATATTTGAAATAATACACTAAGTGGAATGGGTGAATCAGATGGGTGTTGTCTCTCTGTGTGTCAGACCTGTCTCACACGTCGTCTCCCTCGCTGTCGGAGCAGCTGCGTCTGGGACGGGATGAGGCCACGGGCCCTGGTATCAACGTGGAGTGTAGGATCTGTGCTGACAAAGCTTCAGGGTTCCACTACGGTGTGCATGCCTGCGAGGGCTGCAAGGTGAGACAGATTCTGCAAGTCTACCAATGGGTCTTAATCATCAGAAAACCTAATGCCTAATGTTCTTAGGTCTTAAATCCTGGAGGTTTTGTCATGGCTACTAACAGCCTCAACCTGAGCTTAGCTTGAGTTTAGTTTGTGTCCTGTTTGGCAGCATTCCCGCCATTGAAGTTCGGTAGCCCTTTCCTGCAGTCAAATGACCTAGTGGCCTCATGGGTGGAATGTTATTCATATTTCTCATAGTTAAAACATTATTTTAAATAACCCGTCGAAAATCTGGTCTTTCTATGTCAAACAGATTTGTTATATTTCAGTCTTCTGTGATGTACATAAAGTGTAATGTTGGGATGCAAACTTAATATTGAATACATTTAAACTATATCTGACATGGTACAGGTGTCTTCTTTTTTTAAAGACGATAACCATGTGTGTGAGGTGTAAACTTTTGTTTCAAATTAGATTAATTGTTTAATACTACCACTCTGTGTGACCCTGATTTAGCCCACTGCAGTAAAATGTTATTAACCTGCAACTCAAGTTCAATGGCCACAATGTGTGACTTGTGTTAAATCTGACTTCCTTGTAATGCCTCCATTTGAAAATAAACTAAACTCTCTCGCTCTCTCTCTCCTGTGTGTATCATGTGGTCTAGGGCTTCTTCCGGCGGACCATTCGGATGAAGCTGGAGTATGAGCGCTGTGAGAGGGCCTGTAAGATCCTGAAGAAGAACCGTAATAAGTGCCAATACTGCCGCTTCCAGAAGTGCCTGGCCCTGGGCATGTCCCATGATGGTGAGAGGAGACCGTTAATGGGTCTTTTAGGGTCTGGAAATACTTGATTATTTTACAGGTTAAGGGCCAGTTTCCCAGACGCAGATAAAGCCCTGGACTGAAAATCATGTTCAATGGAGGATCGTAATCTGTGTCCTGAAAACTGTCCATAAGAACTACTGAAAATGTGTCTCAATATTCACAATATTCATTTATGAAACTCTTGAACCTCATTTTGGTGGTGCTATACAGTGCATTCGGAAAGTACAGCCTTATTCTAAAATTGATAAAAAATATATATATCCTCATTAATCTACACACAATACCCCATAATGACAAAACAAAGAAAGGTTTTTAGAAAATTTTGGAAATGTATTAAAAAGACCCCCTGAAATATGACATTTACATAAGTATTCAGACCCTTTACTCAGTACTTTGTTGAAGCACCTTTTGCAGCTTCAAGTCTTCTTGGGTTTGATGCTACAAGCTTGGCACACCTGTATTTGGGGAGTTTCTCCCATTCTTCTCTGCAGATCTGCAAGTTTTGTCAGGTTGGATGGGGAGCGTCAATGCACAGCTATTTTCAGGTCTCTCCAGAAATGTTAGATCAGGTTCAAGTCTGGGCTCTGGCTGGGCCACTCAAGGACATTCAGAGACTTGTCCCGAAGCCACTCCTGCATTGTCTGGGCTGTGTGCTTAGGGTCGTTGTCCTGTTGGAAGGTGAACCTTTGCCCCAGTCTGAGGACCTGAGTGCTCTGGAGCAGGTTTTCATCAAGGATTTCTCTGTACTTTGTTCTGTTAATCTTTCCCTTGATCCTGACTAGTCTCCCAGTCCCTGCAACTGAAAAACATCCCCACAGCATGATGCTGCCACCACCATGCTTCACCGTAGGGATGGTGCCAGGTTTCCTCCAGATATGACGCTTGGCATTCAGGCCAAATAGTTCAATCTTGGTTTCATCAGACCTGAGAATCTTGTTTCTCATGGTCTGAGAGTCCTTTAGGTGCCTTTTGGCAAACTCCAAGCGGGCTGTCATGTGCCTTTTACTGAGGAGTGGCTTCCGTCTGGCCACTCTACCATAAAGGCCTGATTGGTGGAGTGCTGCATAGATGGTTGTCCTTCTAGAAGGATATCCCATCTCCACAGAGGAACTGAAGCTCTGTCAGAGTGACCATTGGGTTCTTGGTCACCTCCCTGACCAGGGCCTTTCTCCCCCGATTGCTCAATTTGGCCAGGCAGCCAGCTCTAGGAAGAGTCTTGGTGGTTCCAAACTTCTTCCATTTAAGAATGATCGTGACCGCTGTGTTCTTTGGGACCTCCAATGCTGCAGAAATGTTTTGGTACCCTTCCTCAGACCTGTGCCTCGACACAATCCTGTCTCGGAGCTCTACGGACAATTACTTAGACCTCATGGCTTGGTTTTTGCTCTGACATGCACTGCCAACTGTGGGACCTTATATAGACAGGTGTGTGCCTTTTCCAAATCATGTCCAATCAATTGAATTTACCACGTGGACTCCAATCAAGTTGTAGAAACATCTCAAGGATGACCAATGGAAACAGGATGCACCTGAGCTCAATTTCGAGTCTCATAGCAAAGGGTCTGAATACTTATGTAAATAAGGTATTTCTGTTTTTTATTTTTAATACATTTGCTCACATTTCTAAAAACCTGTTATCGCTTTGTCATTATGGGGTATTGTATGTAGATTGATGAGGAAAACAATTAATTTAATTTTAGAATGAGGCTGTAATGTAACAAATTGTGGAAAAAGTCAAGAGGTCTGAATACTTTCCGAATGCACTGTACATCCTTCGATGCTAATGCTACTCTGTCTACCCAGCGATCCAATATGGCTGTAGGCATGATGCTAACATGTCTGTGTCTGTTTCACCTTCAATGCTAACGCTACTCTGCCTGTTTGCCTGGCAGCGATCCGGTATGGGCGTATGCCGGGGGCTGAGAAGAAGAAGCTAGTGGCTGGCCTGCTAGCGGAGCAACTGGACCCCCACCACCCTGGTGGCTCAGACCTTAAGACCCTGGCTAAACAGGTGTACCAAGCCTACCTGAAGAACCTCATTATGACCAAGAAGAAAGCCCGCAGCATCCTCACTGGCAAGACCAGCTGCACAACGGTATGCTCACTGTTATGTAAATATACACTGAGTGTACAAAGCATTAGGAACACCTGCTCTTTCCATGACAGACTGACCAGGTGAATGCTATGATCCCTTATTGATATCACCTGTTAAATCCACTTCAATCAGTGTAGATGAGGGGGAGGAGACAGGTTAAAGAAGGATTTTGAAGCCGTGAGACAATTGAGACATGGATTGTGTATATGTGCCATTCAGAGGGTGAATGGGCAAGACAAAATATTGAAGTGCCTTTGAATGAGGTATGGTGGTAGGTGCCAGGCGCACCGGTTTGAGTGTGTCAAGAACTGCAACGCTGCTGGGTTTTTCATACTGAACAGTTTCCCGTGTGTATCAAGAATGGTCCACCACCCAAAGGACATCAAGCCAACTTGACACAACTGTGGGAAGCATTGGAGTCAACATGGGTCGGTATCCCTGTGGAATGCTTTCGACACCTTGTAGAGTCCATGCCCTGGCATTTTGATGCGGTTTTGAGGGCAAAAGGGGGTGCAACTCAATATGAGGTGTTCCTAATATTTTGTACACTCAGTGTAAATAATGAAATGGAAGCACTCAAATAAAAAGCAAGAGAATACCCAGAATTAGACACGAACATTGAGAAACTGCCACGTCAACAGTTCACTTTACACACTTTACACAGAATAGTCAGGTCCAAAATGATTGAAACCCTTGATAAAGATGAGCAAAAAAGACTGTATACAATAAATAATACAAATACTGAGCTATATTGTATGCTCCAAAACATATGAAAATTATATTGTTTTATACTAATACAATTGCTCAGTATTTTGTTTAACAAGTAATAAAAAAGCTGGTGGTCGAAATTATTGCCACCCCTGTTTTCAATACTCCAGCACCCTCCCCTGGCGAGGATAAGGACACGGAGACTTTTTCTAAAATGTTTAATGAGATTGGAGAACACATTAGGAGTTATCTTACACCATTCCTCCATACATAGAATCTTTCCAGATCCTTGATATCCTTTGTCTGCACTTATGGACTGCCCTCTTCAATTCAAACCACATGTTTTCAATGGGGTTCAAGTCCAAAGACTGAGATGGCCATTGCAAAATTATGATTTTGTGGTTAAGTAACCATTTCTTTGTGGATTTTGATGTGTGCTTGGGGTTACTGTCTTGCTGTAAGATCCACTTGCGGCCAAGTGTCAGCCTCCTGGCAGAGGCAAACTGGTTTTTGGCAGAAATGTCCTGGTACTGGGTAAAGTTCATGATGCCGTTGACCTTAACAGGATCCCCAGGACCAGTGGAAGCAAAATAGCCCCATAACATCAAAGATCCACCACCATCTTTTACCGTAGGTGTGAGGTACTTTTCTGCGTGTGCTTCTGTTTTTCAACCCACCACTGGTGTGGTGGCCAAAGAGCTCTATTTTCATGTCATCTGACCATAGCACCGGTTCCAATCTAAGTGCCAATGCCATTTATCAAACTCCAGGCGGTGCTGTGGTCAGGTGATATGAAAATAGAGCTATTTGGCCAAAAACCTGGTTGCCTCTGCCAGGAGGCTGACGATTGGCTGCAAGTGAATATTCCAGCAAGACAATAACCCCAAGCACACATCAAAATCCACAAAGAAATGGTTAACAGACCACAAAATCAACATTTTGCAATGACTATCTCAGTCCTCGGACTTGAACCCCATTGAAAAACTGCAGTTTGAATTGAAGAGGGCAGTCTTTAGGAGCAGACAAAGGATATCAAGGATCTGGAAAGATTCTGTATGGAGGAATGGTCTAAGATCACTCCCAACATGTTCTCCAATCTCATAAAACATGTTAGAAAAAGGCTCAGTGTCATTATCCTCGCAAGGGTAGGGTGATGGAGTACTGAAGACGGGTGCCAATAATTTTAATCCTTATCTTTTTTGGTATTTGTATTACTTGTTAAACTAAATGTATTTTTCTGAGAAATTTATTTAGTATAAAATAATATAATTTCCCACATGTTTGGAGCATACAATATAGCTCAGTATTTGTATTATTTATTTTATACAGTCTTTTTTGCTCATCTTCATCAAGGGTGTCAATAATTCCGGTTAGAAGTTAGAACCCTTAGAATACACTCTGAGCTTCATTAGGAGGAAGACGTTTCTGGTTGCACCTAGGTAGGATACGCCTTCCAAGCTGAACCAATGATGTGTATGTTTATGGTCATAACTCACAATAACCCCTCTGAGCTTGGATGAGGGGGAAGGCTTTTCTGGTTGCACCAATGTAGATGCATATTACTATTAACCTCCTCATGGAAAGGTTTAGTGGCTGATTATTTGTAGAGTTCTGAAGTTTTCATCTGCCTCTTATCAATCTGTTTTTCATAATGAGTTTTAACTTGTCATAGACAAAAAAGCATTATATAAGGATTTTGTTTAGCTGAATAGTTTTAAAAGAAAACGAAGACTAGACTGTTAAAAGATTAATGCGCTCTCTCGCTCGGCAGCCATTTGTGATCCATGATGTGGACACCCTGTGGCAAGCAGAGAGTGGTCTAGTGTGGAACCAGTTAGTCCCCGGCGCGCCCCTCACAAAGGAGATAGGGGTACACGTGTTTTATCGCTGTCAGTGCACCACGGTGGAGACGGTACGAGAGCTCACTGAGTTCGCCAAGAACATCCCAGGGTTTGTGGATCTCTTCCTCAACGACCAGGTATGGCATGGACCACGGTCTTCTTCTCAACAGAGCTTAACAACCCTTGGCTTTTCACTTATTCATTATCAACTTAATTTATTGTCAAACTCAGTGAAATGTACTGACAGTAATGTAGAAATATCTGCCATAGTTATACGACGAAAACATAATGAATTTTCTTGTGTCAAGTGTTCAAACTGCTGTTAATGGCACTTTACTTTATTGTTGAATTCTAATTTCTCCCTTATTTACCTGCCTGCTTCCATCAGGTGACCCTACTAAAGTATGGCGTCCACGAGGCCATCTTCGCCATGCTGCCCTCCCTCATGAACAAAGATGGCCTCCTGGTGGCCAACGGGAAGGGCTTTGTGACCCGGGAGTTCCTGAGGAGCCTCCGTAAACCCTTCAGTGAGATCATGGAGCCCAAGTTTGAGTTTGCTGTAAAGTTCAATGCTCTGGAGCTGGATGACAGTGACCTGGCTCTGTTTGTGGCCATTATCATCCTGTGTGGAGGTATGGTATACTTTTGTACTAGTAGTATCATAGTAATTCTGACACTATACTGTTCTTCCCTAATAACCCTGGCCCTAACGTTGTTCATAGCCGCTATTATCCTGTGTGGAGTTGAGGGGAGCTCTTTTTCAATTCATCTTTCCCTCAATTCCTGGTATCCTCTCTCCTCACCTCTTTCTCAAAACACATTGGAGAATAAGATATGGTCCAATATGGTTGCGAAGGAGGTGAGGAGATAGGATGCGAGGAATCACGGAAAGCTTTTAGTGAGGTTGTGTTGTGAGTTGGCAGCTCTGTCACGTCTGTGGTCTACCCATCGAACTATTCACTATCTATCTGCAGATCGCCCGGGGCTAATGAACGTGAAGCAGGTAGAACAGAGTCAGGACGGTATTCTCCAGGCCTTGGACCAGCACCTGCAGGCCAACCACCAGGACTCCCTCTACCTCTTCCCCAAGCTGCTGAACAAGATGGCTGACCTCAGACAGCTGGTCACAGAGAACGCCTTGCTGGTGCAGAAGATCAAGAAGACAGAGTCGGAGACCTCTCTGCACCCGCTACTACAGGAGATCTATAAGGACATGTACTGACTGGACTAAACCGGAGTGAACCTGTACTGACTGGGCTAAACCAGACTGAACTGGACTGGAACTTGCTGCACCTGCTAGTGCAGGAGTTCTACAAGGACATGTACTAGTCTCCTCAAAAGTAGTGCACTACATACAGTGCCTTGCAAAAGTATTCATCCCTCTTGGCGTTTTTCCTATTTTGTTGCATTACAACCTGTAATTTAAATGGATTTTTATTTGGATTTCATGTAATGAACATACACAAAAAAGTCCAAATTGGTGAAGTGAAGTGAAAATAATTCTAAAAAATTAATAACGGAAAAGTGGTGCGTGCATATGTATTCACCCCCTTTGCTATGAAGCCCCTAAATCAGATCTGGTGCACCAATTACCTTCAGAAGTCACATAATTAGTTAGATTGCACACATTTAAGTGTCACATGATCTCAGTATATATACACCTGTTCTGAAAGGCCCCAGAGTCTGCAACACCACTAAGCAAGGGGCACCACCAAGCAAGCAGCACCATGAAGACCAAGGAGCTCTCCAAACAGGTCAGGGACAAAGTTGTGGAGAAGTACAGATCAGGGTTGGGTTATAAAAAAATATCAGAAACTTTAAACATTCCACGGAGCACCATTAAATCCATTATTAAAAAATGGAAAGAATATGGCACCATAACAAGCCTGCCAAGAGAGGGCCGCCCACCAAAACTCACAAACCAGGCAAGGAGGGCATTAATCAGAGAGGCAACAAGGAGACCAAAGATAACCCTGAAGGAGCTGCAAAGCTCCACAGCAGAGATTGGAGTATCTGTCCATAGGACCACTTTAAGCCGTACACTCCACAGAGCTCGGCTTTACGGAGGAGTGGCCAGAAAAAAGCCATTGCTTAAAGAAAAAAATAAGCAAACACGTTCGCCAAAAGGCATGTGGGAGACTCCCCAAAAATATGAAAGAAGGTACTCTGGTCAGATGAGACTAAAATTGAGCTTTTTGTCCATCAAGGAAAACGCTATGTCTGGCGCAAACCCAACACCTCTCATCACCCCGAGAAACCCATCGGCAAGGACTGGGAAAATGGTCAGAATTGAAGGAATGATGGCACTAAATACAGGAAAGTTCTTGAGGGAAACCTGGTTCAGTCTTCCAGAGATTTGAGACTGGGACGGAGGTTCACCTTCCAGCAGGACAATGACCCTAAGCATACTGCTAAAGCAACACTTGAGTGGTTTAAGGGGAAACATTTAAATGTCTTGGAATGGCCTAGTCAAAGGCCAGACCTCAATCCAATTGAGAATCTGTGGTATGACTTAAAGATTGCTGTACACCAGCGGAACCCATCCAACTTGAAGGAGCTGGAGCAGTTTTGCCTTGAATAATGGGCAAAAATCCCAGTGGCTAGATGTGCCAAGCTTATAGAGACCCCAAGATACTTGCAGCTGTAATTGCTGCAGAAGGTGGCTCTACAAAGTATTGACTTTGGGGGGGGTGAATATTTATGCACACTCAAGTTTTCTGTTTTTTTGTCTTATTTCTTGTTTGTTTCACCCCAAAAATATTTTGCATCTTCAAAGTGGTAGTCATGTTGTGTAAATCAATTGATACAAACCCCCCAAAAATCCATTTTAATTCCAGGTTGTAAGTCAACAAAATAGGAAAAATGCCAAGGGGGGTGAATACTTTCGCAAGCCACTGTAGGGAATAGGGTGCCATTTCGGACACACCCAGAGTCTGAAACCTCATTGCACCCGCTACTGCAGGAGCTCAACAAGAACATGACTGGACACAGTGGACTAAACCGGACCAACCTGGACTGGACTTTGCTGCATCTGCTACTACAGGAATTGGACTAAACCGGATGGGACCGGACGTTGCTGCACTCTCTACTGTAGGAGATCTATAAAGACATACAGTGAGGGAAAAAAGTATTTGATCCCCTGCTGATTTTGTACGTTTGCCCACTGACAAAGACATGATCAGTCTATAATTTTAATGGTAGGTTTATTTGAACAGTGAGAGACAGAATAACAACAACAAAATCCAGAAAAACGCATGTCAAAAATGTCATAAATTGATTTGCATTTTAATGAGGGAAATAAGTATTTGACCCCTCTGCAAAACATGACTTAGTACTTGGTGGCAAAACCCTTGTTGGCAATCACAGAGGTCAGACGTTTCTTGTAGTTGGCCACCAGGTTTGCACACATCTCAGGAGGGATTTTGTCCCACTCCTCTTTGCAGATCTTCTCCAAGTCATTAAGGTTTCGAGGCTGACGTTTGGCAACTCGAACCTTCAGCTCCCTCCACAGATTTTCTATGGGATTAAGGTCTGGAGACTGGCTAGGCCACTCCAGGACCTTAATGTGCTTCTTCTAGAGCCACTCCTTTGTTGCCTTGGCCGTGTGTTTTGGGTCATTGTCATGCTGGAATTCCCATCCACGACCCATTTTCAATGCCCTGGCTGAGGGAAGGAGGTTCTCACCCAAGATTTGAAGGTACATGGCCCTGTCCATCATCCCTTTGATGCGGTGAAGTTGTCCTGTCCCCTTAGCAGAAAAACACCCCCAAAGCATAATGTTTCCACCTCCATGTTTGACGGTGGGGATGGTGTTCTTGGGGTCATAGGCAGCATCCCTCCTCCAAACACGAGTTGAGTTGATGCCAAAGAGCTCGATTTTGGTCTCATCTGACCACAACACTTTCACCCAGTTCTCATCTGAATCATTCAGATGTTCATTGGCAAACTTCAGACGGGCCTGTATATGTGCTTTCTTGAGTAGGGGGACCTTGCGGGCGATGCAGGATTTCAGTCCTTCACGGCGTAGTGTGTTACCAATTGTTTTCTTGTTGACTATGGTCCCAGCTGCCTTGAGATCATTGACAAGATCCTCCCGTGTAGTTCTGGGCTGATTCCTCACCGTTCTCATGATCATTGCAACTCCACGAGGTGAGGTTTTGCATGGAGCCCCAGGCCGAGGGAGATTGACAGTTATTTTGTGTTTCTTCCATTTGCGAATAATCGCACCAACTGTTGTCACCTTCTCACCAAGCTGCTTGGCGATGGTCTTGTAGCCCATTCCAGCCTTGTGTAGGTCTACAATCTTGTCCCTGACATCCTTGGAGAGCTCTTTGGTCTTGGCCATGGTGGAGAGTTTGGAATCTGATTGATTGATTGCTTCTGTGGACAGGTGTCTTTTATACAGGTAACAAGCTGAGATTATGAGCACTCCCTTTAAGAGTGTGCCCCTAATCTCAGCTCGTTACTTGTATAAAAGACACCTGGGAGCCAGAAATCTTTCTGATTGAGAGGGGGTCAAATACTTATTTCCCTCATTAAAATGCAAATCAATTTATAACATTTTTGACATGCGTGTTTCTGGATTTTTTTGTTGTTATTCTGACTCTCACTGTTCAAATAAACCTACCATTAAAATTATAGACTGATCATTTCTTTGTTAGTGGGCAAACATACAAAATCAGCAGGGGATCAAATACTTTTTTCCCTCACTGTACATGTACTAGTCCTCCTCATAAGCATAGTCACACTGTTCAGTTCAATACAACTTTATTGTCTCTTTGGAGCCAGTACTGACTGTTATTGATAGCAATACGGTTACATAATGATGTTATGTATATATTCATGTACATTTTTGTTTGGTACATGGTCTTCTCTATGCATGGGGTGTGGAATAAAAAATGTGGCCACTCAGCTGAAAAATATTTAGTTAGATAGATATGTTACTATAGGGATTTCACTTGAGCAGTAACACTAATGGAGATACCAGACCAATTATGAACAGCTCTTCTTCCAGAGTAATGTTGTGAATGGGTAGTACTGCCCCAAATGAGTCTGTTGCCAAAACATGGCAAACCTTTTTTTTAACCGGTTGAGTCTCATGAGGGCATTTGGAGGTTTGCTGTTAAGGAAATGGTTTATTCAAGTTACAAAGTATTTATAAGTTCTAAAGAGACTATATAGAAGTTGCTTAACAACAAATGGTGCAGGTCAAAAGGAAAACGGGGTGGTGCAGGTCAAAAGGAAAACGGGAAACGGGTGTTGATTTAATATGGATAGTGTTAGAGTTAGAAAAACAAGTTATTTCTCTTTAACACAACATAAACTTGAGCCTCTACCCTTCCTTGGTTATACTGTATTCAACTGAATATTGTAATGTTTATTTTGTTTGTTAAAAAAAAAAAGTCATACCTCTCAGAATCGTTTCATACACTACTGGTACTGTTAGCAGTAGAGCAATCTAAATAATAGTTCATTTTGTGCAATATTTTACTATTCTAGCCTATTGTCAATGTTGTGCAGAATCTGAAGAATCTGCTTGTCTGACTCATCAAATAATCTGTTAATGATTTGATTCTTTGAGGCCCCGTGTAGCTCAGTTGGTAGAGCATGGCGTTTGCAACGCCAGGGTTCTGGGTTCGATTCCCACGGGGGGCCAGTATGAAAAATGTATGCACTCACTAACTGTAAGTCACTCTGGATAAGAGTGTCTGCTAAATGACTAAAATGTAAATGTAAAATCTTGTAAGCACCCATTTTGTGGTTCACAAGAATAATGGCGGTAATTTTGTTAGATTGTACAGATGTGTGCTCTTTGGTTTATCCAAGGTACCTACAGTGAGGGAAAAAAGTATTTGATCCCCTGCTGATTTTGTACGTTTGCCCACTGACAAAGAAATGATAAGTCTATAATTTTAATGGTAGGTTTATTTGAACAGTGAGAGACAGAATAACAACAACAAAATCCAGAAAAACGCATGTCAAAAATGTCATAAATTGATTTGCATTTTAATGAGGGAAATAAGTATTTGACCCCTCTGCAAAACATGACTTAGTACTTGGTGGCAAAACCCTTGTTGGCAATCACAGAGGTCAGACGTTTCTTGTAGTTGGCCACCAGGTTTGCACACATCTCAGGAGGGATTTTGTCCCACTCCTCTTTGCAGATCTTCTCCAAGTCATTAAGGTTTCAAGGCTGACGTTTGGCAACTCGAATCTTCAGCTCCCTCCACAGATTTTCTATGGGATTAAGGTCTGGAGACTGGCTAGGCCACTCCAGGACCTTAATGAGCTTCTTGTTGAGACACTCCTTTGTTGCCTTGGCCGTGTGTTTTGGGTCATTGTCATGCTGGAATACCCATCCAGGACCCATTTTCAATGCCCTGGCTGAGGGAAGGAGGTTCTCACCCAAGATTTGACGGCACATGGCCCCCTCCATCGTCCCTTTGATGCGGTGAAGTTGTCCTGTCCCCTTAGCAGAAAAACAACCCCAAAGCATAATGTTTCCACCTCCATGTTTGACGGTGGGGATGGTGTTCTTGGGGTCATAGGTCAGCATTCCTCCTCCTCCAAACACGGCGAGTTGAGTTGATGCCAAAGCGCTCCATTTTGGTCTCATCTGACCACAACACTTTCACCCAGTTCTCCTCTGAATCATTCAGATGTTCATTGGCAAACTTCAGACGGGGCTGTATATGTGCTTTCTTGAGCAGGGGGACCTTGCGTGCGCTGCAGGATTTCAGTCCTTCACGGCGTAGTGTGTTACCAATTGTTTTCTTGGTGACTATGGTCCCAGCTGCCTTGAGATCATTGACAAGATCCTCCCGTGTAGTTCTGGGCTGATTCCTCACCGTTCTCATGATCATTGCAACTCCACGAGGTGAGATCTTGCATGGAGACCCAGGCCGAGGGAGATTGACAGTTATTTTGTGTTTCTTTCATTTGCGAATAATCACACCAACTGTTGTCACCTTCTCACCAAGCTGCTTGGTGATGGTCTTGTAGCCCATTCCAGCCTTGTGTAGGTCTACAATCTTGTCCCTGACATCCTTGGAGAGCTCTTTGGTCTTGGCCATGGTGGAGAGTTTGGAATCTGATTGATTGATTGCTTCTGTGGACAGGTGTCTTTTACACAGGTAACAAACTGAGATTAGGAGCACTCCCTTTAAGAGTGTGCTCCTAATCTCAGCTTGTTACCTGTATTAAAGACACCTGGGAGCCAGAAATCTTTCTGATTGAGAGGGGGTCAAATACTTATTTCCCTCATTAAAATGAAAATCAATTTATAACATTTGACATGTGTTTTTCTGGATTTTTTTGTTGTCATTCTGTCTCTCACTGTTCAAATAAACCTACCATTAAAATTATAGACTGATCATTTCTTTGTCAGCGGGCAAATCAGCAGGGGATCAAATACTTTTCCCCCCTCACTGTACGTGGTGAGTTGTAATGTTATAAGATACCTGGGTACACAAATTATAAATGTATAGATTATTATGACAACTAATGACACAAAAGTCTTACGGTAATTTTTTAGGCTGACACCTTTCAGTGATCATCGGTTATGGACAGGTACCATTGTGAAATGTGACTACCCCCAACATGTATTGCCATCTGTTTTCTAAAATACTGAAATAATATTTTCTAGATGAGTTTGGCCTTTACTTTGAGAAGTGTGATTCTGTATCTAATCTAGATGAACAGAGAACCAGCAAAGGACCAGTCCTTAAACCTTAGTGTATTTCTTACGTTACTGGTACCTGTATGGAGTGGTGTCTGCATATCTTTCCACGACTCAGGACAGACAACGGGGCTGCCTTGTGGATTAAAGAAATGTCTGGCATAATACATTTGAATGCTGAGAGATGAATATCAAGACTCTACCAAAATCACGCCTTTGAACTTTGCATCCACTCAGGACTATAATGTACAACACTGAACAAACTACTTTTTCAAGGATTGTATGTATTCTATCTACAATTTCATTATTGTTTCTAGGTCTGCGCTCTATCAGCCTTATATTATCTGGGTTTGGGGCTTTAATAAATGCTAAATAGCAAATAAAGTGTTTATATAAAGTTGTAGGACTCAACTACCTCTTGAATTTAGTAACACCTATCAAGGCCCCGCATACTGGAAGTACGTTGTACATAAAGTGAGACTAAAATGTTTTCAAATTGCAGTATATGTAGCTAATGTATGTAGTATGTATTCACAACATTTCCCAAAAAGTAATATCTTGTAGGTTTTAGAAGTCTATATGGGAGTGTCCTTTTGTGGGGCCAGGGGAATGTTCTTAGAATATTCTATTGTTCCCAATTCATCTCATGTGCCTCCCTCTTTACAGTTGAAACAGTTGTTCAATGGCAAAAACTTTGAAGGCACCAGTTATTTTTGTGACTAGCTGTACTTAGCCCAAATAATGAACAGATCCAAGTTGCAGCAGGTCAATAGCTTTTTTACTTGATTGTGTCTCATATTTTTTCTTTAATAATAATAATATTTATTTGATATACTGCTTTTTATTACAAAGATAATCTCAAAGACTTTAGTACATTCCAGTAAATGAACATATACAATATTTTAATAAAAAATTTACAGTTATTAATTTCTGCCTAATTAAGGTGGTGTTCCTATTGGTCAGATGTGATGTTTGATCATGGCTTTTCAGTGTGCGGATTCGATTATGCTGAGCTGCGGGGCGCCGGTCTATGATCCGTGGCGTGAACGGGCAAAAGCAGTGAGGAAGGAACGCCATTCTCAAATCGATCAGTGATCTGCCCTGCTTGGTCATGTCAACAAGGCAGCATGGCGCATCGTCCAGAAACATACCTCTCTTTTCCATTAAAATATGTTTGCATTTTCAAACTAGTTTTCATTGGGAAGGCAGATAAATCTTATCAAAAGCTATCACTTTTGCAAGTGAAAACATAATCCTACTCATTACTCCACGTGCTAATTACGTCACTTTTGTTTTGAGCTGACTTCGCAGTGAACTTTGAAGGGGGCACCAGGCTCAGGACCGGAGGCTGCCCTGTTCCTTCTCCTGGTGCAAAACACGTTTACCCGGGCACCCGTGCCAGATTAATCGAATCCCCTCATTGGTTCCTTTCCTAATTGGATAGCTGGGAAAGCAACGCCCACTTTCTATTTAGCTGAAAAGCTTTTAGCTAGATGTTTTGGGGGGCAAGAACATCAACAAGACGCAGGCCAGAAAATGGAGTCAAAGATAGGTCAACCTTCGTATTTTCGTAGTGGTGGAACTTGTAGGTAGGCATCCCAAAATGAACTTGTTTCATATGGCCTTGAATGCAATTTGTTTGAAAGAACTGTGTGACTAAATGCAATTCATTTGTGTTCAGTACTAGGCCAACAATTCATCTTCCTCTGAAAATGTGCTGTTGCACCGGGCATTTTTTTTGTCTGGCAGCTGCAAAGGTCTTGACTCTAATGTTTGCAAACTTGCAATATTTGAATAACATGAACAAAGGTGAAGTTGTGGTGGAGCACGAGGCATGGTGTATGTGACGTAGTATGTTAACCGCTTGTGTGCCATTTGCTGTAGTCTGTTGAAAAATAAAGACTACTTTATTTGACAAACAATAATGGAACAATATGGGTTTCCGTACCATGACTCCTATGAACGTCCTTTAATTACTAGAAGGATTTGCAGGTATGGTTTTGGTTTGAGAACTGGGCCGGGTTTCTCTAACACAGCCCATCTATTCTGGAGAACTTTGTTCAGTCTTCGAATAACCTAACGCAGCAGGCGTGTCTTGATCTGCTGCAATGATGTTTACATCCGGTTGTAGCGCACAAAAGTTGTATTGGTCAACTTGTGCGACTAAAGAGTAATGGGTTTCTGTTAAGAGCAGTTATCGATTTAGCTTTTAACGTTAATTGGAAATCGTTATAACTAAACTTTTGAAATGTCGTTGCTATGGACTTCACTGCCTCCAGTTGCTAGCTAGCTAACGCCTAACTAACAAGTTCGGTTAAAGGGTTCGAATCCCGGTCACACCACACCCACATTGAGAAGAGCATGAGCTTGCCTTGCAGTTTTGACGTTTGTTTGTTTGCTGATGTCCCATTGCTGAGTCTCAAATCGACAGTGAATGTGATGGCTACATGACATATGTTTTACAGGCAATTCATGAACGGTTCATGCAGATTCGGTTCGAGCTGTCATTATCTACACGAGTGGCCATCAGTGTTGCCGCCGACATCCCAAATATGCAGGTACTTCCAGAAAGGTGGATGCTGGTTTGGAGATGGCTGCAGGTGAGACACAAAATTCATAATGGCCTGACTCTTACTATTCAGGCTACCTTATAAACCTTTACACTACATACTTTCTGAGTCATGGAATTCGCTTTTGCCTATTCTCCAGATATCTCCACATCACTGATGCTGAGGCAGCCAATGCGGGGTTGAGTAGGAGGGGTTCAGCACCTGTGGTTCACACCCCGTGGGTTGGCCATGCTCTACCAGAACGTAGAGGATCAGAGCCCTCTCTACTGCAGGCACAGGGCTTCTACAGCCAAGGACGCAGGGGCTCAGAGTCCATGCATACCTATTTAGCACACCTGCAGCACAACTTTGGCCGTCAGAACACAGATATCACAGAAGAGGATGTAGCCGAAGGTTCATCGCAGACTTCACCTCAACGACAGGGTATGACCTCAATTGGTCCCCTTAGCTAGGTTTTACCCTGGTATTGGGGTATACTGTTGGCCTGGTTCCTGATCTGTTTGTGCAGTCAAATGTTTGGCATTATAATGACCATAGGGGTTAGCAAGGTTGCACAAATGGATCTGGGACCAGGATGGTGTATTGTAGTACTGTACAGAGGAATTTGACTATATATATACATGTAGTAGTACTTGGTTGTAACAATGTCCCTTTTTTGGCAGCGGAGTCATCACACGCTAATGTCACAGATCCCCAAGCATCTGTCCAACAGTGTCCCGAGACATCGGCCCAAACTACAGTTCCATCCAGCACACTGTCAGCTCAAGCAGGCGAATGGAGGCCTCTAGTCAATCAGCAGGTTTGTCATTGTTATGGAAATAAGGTTATTTTGGGGTTACTTTCTCTGCTACCTCATGGAAAATGTTTATGCAATCTCAAAGTCAAGACTCAAGATGTAGAGTATACTCTGATGGCACATGGAAATATTTCGTTTTTGTTCTTTGTGTAATGGATTCAAGATTGTCGTAGATGCTTGCGCCACAGCTTGAAATGTCTCCACCGCTGCGGAATTTGATAATTTTTGGTGGCACAGCTGGTTAATACATTGTCAAGCAGGGCGGCCATGTGTGTTGGCGAGGCAGAGGGCGCAAGATCAACTACTGGTTAGGATGTTGAGCGCGGATGCAATACTGCTAAGCAGCACAATGAAGCCTGTTCCATTTGTACTTAGCAGGAGCCTTCCTCCCAGGAGGTAGCAGCAGAGCGTGGTGCCTCCTCTGCAACTGCTGCCTTCCAGACGGAACAGGAGCATACGGACTACTTCAACCAAAGTAAAGATGTGACCTGTGGCATCTGCATGGAGACAGTGTACGAGAAGACCCGTGCTGAGGAGAGGCGCTTTGGCATCCTGCCCAACTGCAGCCATCCTTTCTGCCTGAGCTGCATCGTCACCTGGAGGAAAACCAAAAACTTCCAGGAAGAAGTTATAAAGTAAGAGGGCCGGGCAGCATAGTTTATGGCTATATTTTTTTGTTTTACGAAGCGGGTCCTGTTTTTGTATGTTGTTTTTTTTACTTGCCTGGAAGGGCTAACTTTCTGTATCTACTCTTTGCCAAAGGGGCTGCCCACAGTGCAGAGTGAAGTCTGCGTTTTACGTCCCTAACAAGTACTGGGTGGAAGGACAACCAAAGGAAATCCTTATCCGTAACTTCAAAGAGAAATGCAGGTTAGCTTTTATCATTCTGGCTAGAATTATGTCTTTCTGGGATCTTGGCTTTAAAGGAATGTGACTCTTCCTGATTAATCAAGAACTCCTGCTTTTCCGACATGTCCTCCATTCTGGTTATTGAAACGTGCCTGTCCCCTAGTCATAATTATGATTTTCTGTTGTCCTGATCACATCCCTATTCTTCCAGTAAAAGAAGATGTAGTTTCTTCATGCGTCATGGATGCTGTCCCTTCAAGACTGAGTGTCTCTATTGGCATGACCTGCCTCATGGCTACAGACCACCTCGCCGACGCAGATCAGATCATTCTGTAAATATTTGACAGATTACTTTAGCTTCACACACACAGTTCAACATAGATAAATATAAACTGAAACAGACATTTTAGATTTTGTGACCACTCAATGCATTTCTAAATTGCAAAAGCTTTTTTTGTTTTGTTGCTCTTATCTAATAGCACCATGCGATGAGTCTGGATGATTTGGGCAGCCTACAACTTCTTGACTATGTCATTGCGATGACTCTACTGGATGACTTGCTGGATGATGATGATGACGACGATGATGAGTTCCCTCTGTACCTGAGTGAATATGACGATTATGGTCTATTCTGAGCACTGCCACCCTGCTCCAAGGATTTGGTCTGCAATGGTTGACTAGGGCCTCTACTCTAACCCCATTAAAGAAGACTGCTATTTATTCACTCACTGTCCCTCATAGACTCTCAGAACTGAAGTCTCTACATATGCTGCATGTATCTGCTTTCCTGGTGGTTGAAAACAATTGCTAGTTTGAGGTATAGGCCAAGCACTTGCAGACCTGTTGCTTGAAGACCTGTACCGAAGGCTAGGATTACCACTGGTTCACTTACTAGTATTGTTATGCCTCCCAGACTTGACATGAACAATCCTAACCAACAGCTAACCTTTTGGTTAGATCCAGGGCTGTGTTGGTTGGAGTCATCCTGTTAGACAGGGAGATTGGTTCTTCTCTTGCTATTGATGGTGTTGGTTCATTGCAAGTTGAGGATGGGTTAATTGATTAGTTGGTCAATCAATGTGGTGCTCTGCTTTGATTGCGCTCTGTTCCATTGGTTGGTCCTGTTAAAAAAAAAAAAAGTGTCACTTGTGCCAATGCTGTGTCACTATTGCCATTTGCACCATTTAGTTATTTTTTTTTAGATGTGTTTAGTTTATATATTTTATGCCTAAATTGGAAGTATACTTTGCCTTGCCCTAAGACATGGCTATACTCCTATAGCGCCATACAAATCTTGCCATGCCTCAGGGCAATACCTTGCCCTGCTATTTTTCACTTGTCTATGACATACTTGAGCAGTGGAGGCTGCTGAGGGTAGGATGGCTCATAATAATGGCTGGAATGGATTAGAATGGAATGGTATCAAGCAAATGAAAACAATGTCTTTGATACATTCCATTTACTCCATTCCAGCCATTATGAGCATTCTCACCTCTGCAGTCTCCACTGTACTTGAGACGCTTACCTCTCCTGTTGACAGGGCATGACACTCTTGTTGCAGTGTTGACATGCTGATTTAAAGACCTAATGTCTGATTTTATTACTTCTAACCTGTTTGTATTTTCACGCACAGAAAAGAGAATAAAACTTAGTTTCACAGTTTGCCTATTTTTATTAATTGTATTGCTCATTCTAACGTGCTACAGGGAATGGCCATGTCTAACCTGTTTGAATTCCCACATATGCACAAGTGTTATATGGGTTTAAGGTTTTGATGACAACCACTTTTTTGGCTTCAGTATGAATAGGTTAAACATAAACACCAGTAACCAAGTTTGAGTTGACGTCAGAATTGGGCTATCAGATTATCTGAAAAATATCGGATTTGAAAAGATCTGTGATTGGGTCCAAAACAATATCAAAATTGGGCTGCCTGTCTAAAGCAGCCATTGCTGGCTTCATGTCAAACTTGGTTACTGGTTTGATTGTTTTAACCTTTTCATACTAACGCCACAACCCAATACAGTGGTTGTCATCAAAACCGACTCGCACATTTTCAAGAAGCCTTTTGTATTGCAACCACTTAAATTAATGTGTTGGAAATGTACTGTATCTCCAGTCAACCAGCAAGGGTACATCATCAGGGACTAGAAGTTATATGACTTACCACTCCAGCTCAGTATGTGGCGCAAGACACAGAAGAGGGAAATCTGAAAATGTTGATCAAAGCGTGACATTTTGTATTGTATCGCTAGTTGATGACAACAGAGGATCAAATTGACAAAACATTACCCACTATTTGAGCCAGTTACTTGTACCCATAAGACTTCCATGGATACAAAAACTTTGTGGCTCCTGGTTTGAGGGACGCGCTCTGTTCACTCTTCTCGGGGGCTACCAGTGCCTGCCAGGCTCTGTGAGTGTTCCAGCAGCAACAACGGTCAGACCCGGACCGCTGCATTGTCATACTTGAGTAAAAGTAAAGATTCCTTCGTAGAAAATTACTCGAGTGAAAGTCACCCAGTAAAATTCTACTTGAGTAAAAGTATTTTGTTTTAAATATACTTAAGTATATTTTAACAATTACATTTACTTTTGATACTTAAGTATTGAAAGTAAAAGTACAGATCATTTCAAATTCCTTATATTAAGCAAACTTTTTTTAATTTATTTTTATGGATAGCCAGGGGCACACTCAAACACTGACATAATTTAAGTCGCTTTGGATAAAAGCGTCTGCTAAATGGCATATTATATATATTATTTACAAACTAAGCATTTGTGTTTAGTGAGTCTGCCAGATCAGAGGGAATAGAGATGTTCTATTGATAAGTGCATGAATTTGACCATTTTCCTGTCCTGCTAGCCAATCAAAATGTGACTAGTATTTTTGAGCGTCAGGGAAAATGTATGGAGTAAAAAGTACGTTGTTTTCTTTAGGAATGTAGTGAAGTAGAAGTTGTCAAAAATATAAATAGTAAAGTACAGATACCCCAAAAAATGACTTAAGTTGTACTTTGAAGTATTTTTTACTTAAGTACTTTACACCACTGGAGAAATTACATGTCGAAGTTTATGTTCCACTAATTTGTCCTAGTTTTTAGGTGTACTGTTTAGATAGTTGAAGCCATGTGATTATGTAAACAGCCTAAATCTTAGTGAATGCACATGTGAACACCATTGACTAGGCCTACAGCTAATAATATCTTAATTGTAGCTGTACACATAACTATGGTATACTGTTTTACATTCACAACGGATGATCATCACCTTTTGCTATGGTCTTCTCCTCAGCAAACCACTTGCTGGCCTGTTTCCAGTTGCCTTCCAACGGAGTCTCTTGTCCTTCCTACACCTCATGCTTTCCCGGACCAGTGTCCACCTGTAATTGCTAGAATGTCTCAGCCAGGGGGAGCCTGTCCTAAACCCCTTGGTGTCTGCCCTGGTTGTCCAGCTCCAGAGAGGCGCGGGAGCCCCTCATCTCACCCCAGTGCAGAGACAGACTGAGGGGACTATGTGAGCGTCTGAGGTGTTGTGGTGGTAAAGCAATAGGATGGTGGACCAATAGATCCACAACCATCCTCATTTTCACAGAGTGGGCTAGAGTTGGTGGTTCCACAGAGGAAGAGGAATAGCAGCTGCGTGGATCTGGACTTGGAACCTGAGGAAGACTCTGGACAGCAGAGGATGAAGATGAGTCTATCCCCTGCTGTTGAGACAGAGAGGAGCTGTAGCAGCAATGTGGGGTCGGCAGTAGGAATGGAGGGTTTGAAAGACCGGGTAGTTAGTCGACGATATCATCACCGAAGCCACAGGAGCCAGCAGCAGTGAGTCCATGTGATGCCCTGCCTGAGCATGTAAAGGTGAGAGAACTAAAGGGGACAGCTTTGTAGGCTATATTCAGTCACATCAGCATTCTATAGTTATCGTAGGAAATAGAAATCACGGATGATCTGAAGCTGATAGACTTTTCATAAACCTTACCTCACCTGTGTAGCTGTCTGCTGGCGCTCCTGATCTCAGTCACAGCACAGCAGCCACACTCATCAAGAACCTCTTGATGAGAAAGGTACTATACCTCACCTCACAGTTCATTCAACATGGGGTGTCGAGCAGAGCTCGCCTCATAGCTGTACATCAGACTTAAGACGTTTTTCTGATGAAGGCCAATGGCTGGCAAAATGTCATGTTTTAAACTCCGAACTAATACAATCTACAGCTTTGTAATTGTGTCTGAGAGAGTTGCACCTGTAATTTTCGAATGTTACTCTGGTTTTTGGGCTGCACCTCGACTCACATTCGCTGAAGCCAATGATGTATACAATATACAGTACCAGTCAAAGGTTTGGACACACCTACTCATTCAAGGGTTTTTCTATATTTTTACTATTTTCTACATTGTAGAATAATAGTGAAGACATCAAAACTATGAAATAACACATATGGAATCATGTAGTAACCAAAAAAGTGTTAAACAAATCAAAATATATTTTATATTTGAGATCCTTCAAAGTAGCCACCCTTTGCCTTGATGACAGCTTTGCACACTCTTGGCATTCTCTCAACCAGCTTCATGAGGTAGTCACCTGGAATGCATTTCAGTTAACAGTTGTGCCTTGTTAAAAGTTAATTTGTGGAATTTATTTTCTTCTTAATGCGTTTGAGCCAATCAGTTGTTGTGACAAGGTAGGGGGGGTGTACAGAAGATAGCCCTATTTGGTAAAAGACCAAGTCCATATTAAGGCATGAACAGCTCAAATAAGCAAAGAGAAATTACAGTCCATTATTACTTTAAGATATGAAGGTCAGTCAATCTGGAACATTTCAAGAACTTTGCAAGTTTCTTCAAGTGCAGTCGCAAAAACCATCTAGCTCTATGATGAAACTGGCTCTCATGAGGACCGCCACAGGAAAGGAAGACCCAGAGTTACCTCTGCTGCAGAGGATAAGTTCATTAGAGTTAACTACACCTCAGATTGCAGCCCAAATAAATGCTTCACAGAGTTCAAGTAACAGACACATCTCAACATCAACTGTTCAGAGGAGACTGCGTGAATCAGGCCTTCATGGTCGAATTGCTGCAAAGAAACCACTTCCCAAGGACACCAATAAGAAGACACTTGCTTTGGCCAAGAAACATGAGCAATGGACATTAGACCGGCGAAAATCTGTCCTTTGGTCCTGATGAGTCCAAATTTGAGATTTTTGGTTCCAACCGCCATGTCTTTGTGAGACGCAGAGTAGGTGAACTGATGATCTCTGCATGTGTGGTTCCCACCGGGAAGCATGGAGGAGGAGGTGTGATGGTGTGGGGGTGCGTTGCTGGTGACACTATCTGATTTATTTAGAATTCAAGGCACACTTAACCAGCATGGCTACCACAGCATTCTGCAGCGATACAGCCATCCCATCTGGTTTGCACTTAGTGGGACTATCATTTTGTTTTTCAACAGGACAATGACCCAAAAGACGCCTCCAGGCTGTGTAAGGGCTATTTGACCAAGGAGAATAATGGAGTGCTGCATCAGATGACCTGGCCTCCACAATCACCCGACCTCAACCCAATTGAGATGGTTTGGGATGAGTTGGACTGCAGAGTGAAGGAAAAGCAGCCAACAACTGCTCAGCATATGTC